AGGGAAAGCAAGGGGAAAGGGGGTTCTCTCTCGTTCGTGAATGTGCCTACGACTACCTGTGGACACGAACGATGACGGCTGTGCGGAATATGGCGTATTAAGCGGCAGATATATAGGATGTCTAAGGATACACGTAGCTGCTCCAAGGGGAAATAGCGGTCGTTTCACCGACGATGCATTTCGTCAATATTTGAAGAACCAGTTAACATTTCGTAATAGAAAATAAATTTCAAGAGACTTAAATTAATCGTAAAATCTTTCTTTTTAATTTCTAGGGCACTTTATTTTAGTCAAAATTAAATTTGTAGTTTAATTAAGAGATGAGCATTAAACATTAAAATGATAAATGATGATCTTCTCTTTAACTTTGAATAAAGCTGAATTTACTAGCATCATTAGCGAATTGAAAAATCAATTCTCTGATTTTGAAAAGTAAGTTTGAAAAGAAGTAAAAAAATTGTGTGAGCCATTCTGTATAAAAGATTCTATGAGGGTGCACAAAGAGAAAATAATATAAATATAGATGGATAAAATATGGTTAGAAATTATTAGTTAGTTATTATTAATTATCTTTTATATGACGGATAATTGCTTTAGCCAAAATACAAATAATTGTAACAAAATATGATCCGGAAGAAAGTAAAACCAAAAAACAGTAGAGGTAGGTTTGAATAATAAAATTTGTAACAGAAAATAAAAAGTAATGAAATTAAATAAAAGTGGCATAATTTCTGGTGACAAAAAAATATTTTAGATCATTTAATATGTGTCGAAGAATAAGTCACGAGTTTTTAAGTTTTAATTTCAATTTACGTAAAGTTTTGATCCTAATCCTTCGATTTATTTTGGCTTAATCCCATGATTAATCAAAAAATTAATCCTGGTAAAACCAAGCTGTGCTTGTTAACTGTAAGCTACTCGTCAAAATATCAATTTATTCATTCATTTTATTATATATATATATATATATATATTTAATGTTAATTTGTATAACATGTGTTAAACACATAATTTTTATAACACGAATATGATCTCTCTCTCTCTCTCACTCTCTTTCTCTGTCACTCTTTCTCTCTCTATGCTTTATAAATCTGCGCTCAAAAGCGAAATATCCCAAAATCTGTTTCAAATCTGAATGAATCTTGAATGCAATAAATATAGTCTTGTTGTGCATTACAAATAAATTTTGCAGTAATAAATCATTTTTACAATAAATCATTTTACTGCAAAATTGATTACCACGTTAATTGCATCTCAAGATCTCGTTTGCGAGATATTATGAAGAAACACTTACCGCATTTACCGCGAAATGCCACGGTGATGTTAGCACCTTTCGTACATGCGACCCGATTTAGGTCGCACAACGTCGAATAGTCGATCCCATCCGTGCCGCAGACAGGTCCCGAACCCTCGTGATCCCCTAAATTTGGGCAAGATTCCAAGCATTCGCAAATCGCCTCCTTACCGTCCCTGCTTCGCACACATTGCGAGCCCTGCGAGCAATTCAGCTTCGTGCAAGGATCCTTGATTTCTGCAAAAAAACCATCAAAATCTGATATTAATTAGCGCCATGATATAATTAAATTAATATCTAACAATATAATATAAAGGTATTTAATTTTCTTCTTTGAACGATTCAATTAATAATTCGACGAGAAACGTTAAAATATGATATTAAGTATACACAGATTTATTTACACTTTATACAATTGATGTATTTGCATAGATAGCTTTCATCGCACGTTATGTGTAACGGTATGAAGTATTAACTTTTAATAAATTAATTGTTATGTAAAGTAATTTATGAAAAGGCTCCGCTTTTATCCGACAAATAAATCCGACAAATAAATCCGTGTATTAAATTAATTTAATTACAGTCGATGACATATCAATCACAGTTTCATCAAAGTGAAAATACGCCGGACCTGCCCTGTGCAAGACGCACGTCTCTCCTATTCCGTGCGATAATGCGCGTTCACCGGAAACGGATTGGTAATGGCGTGATAATCCGTTGACGAGAGCGGCACGATGTTACGGTCAATCCCGCTGATGGAAGCCGCCGACAGCTTCGATTTCGAAGTAACGAGACGAAAGCCAATGACGAATAGGATGGGCAGCGCCTCGCCGCGAGTACAATCACGAACGATACGTGCAATTTAATGCTCTCGTATTCGCGGGATTGGAATCGTCGAACCCAGTTTACGACGGAAATGTCAAGCGTAAATGTAGAGACCTTCGTCCCGACGTGCACAGTACGCAAAATGTTCACCCGTCAATTTTGTGCACATATTTCTCTCTGGAGTTTAATTTCAAAATAAGTCGCAAAGCTTTTTCAATATTTCTATCTTTGAATTCCGTCTTGAAATGTTCATTTATATTTGTAGCTTCTAAAAATCGAATAACTCATTAATTTTTTACAAGTTTATTCTTATAAAATAACAAATATACGCGATGTATTGTATCTTGTGTCACTTGTTTCGTACCTGATTATTTTTAATCGTTTATTTTTACTCATAGTCAATTTTTGTGCTTTATGATTAGGTATCGCGACGCGATATCGGCTCTCCCGTCTAAACGACAAAAATACGAAAATCTGTTTTTTAGCGGTGACGTGTACATCGGAAAAATACCGCCGCGCTTAATCAACAATATTTTTTTCTGTAACGCGAGTCCACATTGCCGAAATGTAATTGCGAACACGACGCGCGACGTAACCTACCTATCTAGCGCCGTAACGCGCCGTGAAATTAAATCGGTGCGATTCGCGATGAATAAACTATCGTCCGCCGGGATTTATTCGCGACGAAATTCACACATGGCGCCGCATTTTTTGCGGCGCGACGAAAAAAAAGGGGGGGAAAAAAAGAGAGAACGGGCGGGACCACTCATAGCGCGGGCTCGGTTCAGCGTCCCGGATCATTAACCCTGTCGGATCCCTAAGGACCGACCCAAAAGAGTTCGCATGCGGTTTCGTGCTCTGTTAAAATTTTATCGCGCGTGCATGAGCGAAATTTGCGGTCCCCGACTGAACTATTTTCCGTCGGGAGTGGCGTCGTAACCAACAAGATATATCTCTCGACGAAGGTGGACATGATGGTTTTTATACGCTCGGTTACTGCATAAATTATTTATCTGCGACACGCGTGCGAGAGGTTGCCGTGTGGAGCTTTCCGAATATCTTTTTTTTTCCTTTTACTTCAAAAAGTAGAATTACATGTAGCTGAGAAAATTAATTATTCTTTAGAAGCATGTCGAAAATGATAATTGATTCTTCTCTAATTTTGTTCAACATTTTACTTGTAATTTGCCTGAAACTCATTTTAAACAATTTATGATTCAAAATATAAATCTATTTATAATTTTATTTGCGTGTATCCTTATATATGTATATTTTATATATGCGTATCTACTTTACTTATTAAAAAAAGTTTTCTGTCTCTTCTGTGTCTTCTGTGAATTATGTAACATGATTATAAAATATTTAAATAATGTAAAATATATAAATCTCGCAAAGATTTATTACGTACAGCTTGCATGGCCTCACGCAAGTCGATGGTTCTAGGCCGCGCTATATATACGCTCTTC